GTGAGAGACCAGGGAGACCAGAGAAACCTGAGAGAGAGAGAGAGACCAGGGGAGAGAGACCAGAGAGAGAGATCAGAGAGAGACCACAGAGAGAAAGACCAAGGGAGAGGGACCAGCGAGAGCATGGATAGAGAGGAGAGAGACACCAGAGAGAGATCAGAGAGACACCAGAGAGAGATCAGAGAGGGAGTAGCCTGGTTGTACTACACCATTGTACAATTTCATTTATGTAGGGAAATTAATGATTGACCGGAGTTTTACGGATGGCTGTAAGGCCAGGCTAAGACCAGACAGAAAAGATCCAGAGGATGACATACCCTGAGGTCTCTGCTTTACCATGTGGCGTGTGTGTTCCGGTCTAGCGTTTTTTCCCGCCCACTCGGCCCCCGGACCCTAGCACCCCTCAGGACCATGTCTCCTGAAACCCAGGGAGTAGATTAACCATGCCCGACCCTAATCTATCCACCATTGGGGGTCCGTGTGTGTCTGACGCTGGTCTACCCCGCTGGATGCAGAAGAAACTACAGCGCAGAAGCAGGATGTTTCTCCCTCTGAAGTCCCCCTGTTCCTGAACCCAGTGCAGGAACCACGGCCCAGAGACCCAGAAGGTCCCTGGTGCGTAATACAATGAAGAACGTGACGCACCACCCCCCCCCCCCCCCCCCCCCACCCGTGGGAGTGGGGGACTACCTGCAAGATCTGCATCTGTGTGGTGGAGTACTGCTGCTATTACTATGCTACTACCTGTTACCTACTTCCTATTCTCTCTGTACTGGTGTGGTTACTCCGACATGGGGCTTGGATACTGTAAACTCTAGTGGACCTTTTGGAACAGCTCCAGTCCCATGGAATCTTATAGTGATAACCTGGATCGCGGTGTTACTTAGCATTATAGCGTGTCCCACACCATAGGGGGCGGCGTCACCAGCTCAAAAGTCGCCACAATTGACGTGCGCTGACATTGCTTGCAATACCCACCCGGGCCGATGGTGGGATGTCCCAGAAAGAAGGAATTAGCCAAGTGCTTAACATAATTAGCGTTGGCAGACCTCGCAAAACCGGTCTTCACAGGAAGGACCAAAAGTTTGGTCCTCTTATCCCCAAGCTCCGTTCCACATGTGTGTCCAATGCTGAGGGGGCGAGACTAGTTTTGGACCACTCTAGTTTACCTTGCTCGTGAATTTCTGGAAGTCTCGCTGTTCAAAATGAATGGAGTTGCGCCGCGATGACGCATGCGCAGCGATTGCGTTTTTTCACCATTTTCTTGTGGGCGGGACCACCTCGCGGCCCCATTTCGGATTTGCTCTAGTAGAGGCAAAATTCTTTGGCCCATTAGTTAGAACGGCCGGCAGATAGGCGTGAACTCTGTCCGATAATATTATACAGTTTACCCCCCCTGTGCCCACCAATGGGCAACAGGGGGGCGCCCTGTGGTACTGCAGCCTAATATTCACCCCCATGGGTCTACCCAGGACGAAAAAGGCCCATAGGATCTTCAATGTAACCTAAAACAGCTCAACCTCAGCTGACGGAGAGAACTACAGCTTTCATAAAGGTTGGAGTTGTGTTACTTGTCCCATGTTCATCCTGAACTTTTTTCCTTCTTAAATCCCTACGGTTTTAAATAAACCACCACTTTTACTGCCACCATAACAATCAGCTCTTTTTCTACCCGCTCTCCGGCTCTCACCTCTATCCCCTGCTCTGATCCCGCAGCTCTGATTGGTCAAACGCGCGGCCGAGCTCCCCTCTGTGCACGTGCCATGAGAAACCACACCACGCGTATTTGGCGCATACGTATGGGGAGCTCGTACGCTGCGCAGAACCGGGGAGGACCAGAAGGACCAGTGCTAATCTTTCAGTTCCACGTGAAGTCCCATGCGCCACTGCGCAGAAGCCCATTCATTTGAATAGGACGCCATCGTGGATCACCGGGGACTATGCTCACAATCCCAGTCCTCACAACCCGGTCTTTTGGTCGCGTCTAACCTTTCTTGTGGTCTCTTACAGATGGACCCCCCTGACAGCTCCAGTCCCCAGTCCTGGGACCAGGAATACGGATTCGGCGGAGAGAAAGATCAGTGCTGAAAAACACCCGAAGGACACCTCTTCAACCCACCGGAGGCTTCGGGACAGGGGGAAACCCGGTTGAGGATGTACTGCGAATTCTGAGAGTACTGAGAGTACTGAGAATTCTGAGAGTACTGAGAGTACTGAGAATTCTGAGAGTACTGAGAACTGTGTGTATCAATCTATGAGTACCCAAATGCTTCATAAAACCAGCACATATTAGGTCTGTAACACAGGTGTTACGCAGGTTTAAACAGATGTAACAACAGTGTTATACAGGTGATGATATAGGTGTTACACAGGTGTTACATAAGTGTTACACTCATGTTGTACAGGTGTTATGTGATATGTGTCCTCAGTTTGCGGACAGCGCCCCCTGTTTGAGGCCAAAGGACTGCAGGACCAGAAGGAGGAGGAGCTTCTGGAGTCGTACAGAGGGGGTCGCATAGTGGGCGGGATCAACGCCGAGATCGGCTCCGCCCCCTGGTACTCGCGCACTGTACTCTCATACTGTAATACTCGCATACTGTTGTAATCGCATACTGTAGTAATCGCATACTGTAGTACTCTAACTCATCAGTCGCTCCCTTATCAGAATCAGAATCAGAATCATTTTTATTGCCACGTAAGTAACAGGAGGTCACAGACTTGGAAATTGCTTTGGCTCAGTGCAACAGTCAAAAAGAGATAATAAAAATAAGAATAAAAAACACTTCTAAAGAATAAATTTAAATTTAAAATAGAGTTACAGTTACTATTTACAATATACAAGTGCACATGGTGCACACAATGTAAGGTGACAGCAGTACAGTGAAGTAAAAGTGACGTATGATGGGCAGTAAAGTGACTTTATAAAGGGCGGGGGACAGGTTAAGAAGTGTTCAAGAGTCCACACAGCAGAGGGGAAGAAACTGTTTCTTGTGGCGGGAGGTTCTAGTCCTGATGGACCGCAGTCTCCTGCCTGAGGGGAGTGGTTGGAATAGTCCATGTGCAGGGTGAGGGGGTCGGCTGTGATACGACCAGCCCGGCCTCGAGCTCGGGCGACGTACAGGTCCTGCAGCGATGGAAGGCTGCGGCCGATCACTTCCTCTGCAGAGCGCACAATGCGCTGTAGTCTCTGTTTGTCCCTGACTGTGGCTCCAGCGAACCACAGTCCTCTCCTCCTCCTTAGTCTCGCCTCCTCAGTCTCTCCCTCTCCTCCCCCATCAGTCTCTCCTTCACCAGTCTCTCCCTTTCCACCCTCACCAGTCTCTCCCTCATCAGTCCCTCCCTCTCCTCCCTCATCAGGCAGGTGGATGCTGTACAAGCGCAGCCCTCAGGAGCTGTTGTGTGGGGCCTCCCTCATCAGTGACCAGTGGATCCTAACTGCTGCCCCACTGTGTGCTGTATCCTCCATGGAACAAGAACTACACTGTGGACGACATCCTGGTCCGACTGGGGAAAGCACAACCGAGCCCCAGTAAGACCAGACCAAACTAGACTAGACCAAACCAGATCAGAACTAGATCATACCAAACCAGCTCAGGTCTGACCAGACCCAGACCAGACCAAACCAAACCCAAACCTGTCTCTGTGTCTTTCTCTCTTGTGTATCTATCTCACTGTGTGTTTTACTCTTTCTGTGTGTGTCTTGGTGTGTATCTGTCTCTCTCTCTCTGTGTGTGTGTGTGTGTGTGCAGGTTTGAGCGTGGCGAAGAGAAGATTGTTGCCAATTGACGAAATCATTGTTCATCCTAAATACAACTGGAAAGAGAATTTGAACCGAGACATCGCTCTGCTGCACATGAAGCGACCAATCACCTTCTCCGACAGGATCCACCCCATCTGCCTGCCCAGCAAGGCTGTGGCCCGCACGTGAGTCCACCTGCTCCACATGGTCCCAGTAACACATGGTCTGAGGTCCACATGTTTCCGGGTCTCTCTCTCCTCTCCCTGATGACTCCCTGATGTCTCCTCTCTCTCCTCAGCCTGATGACTCTCTCTCTCCTCTCCCTGATGACTCCCTGATGTCTCTCTCTTTCCTCAGCCTGATGACTCTCTCCCCTCTCCCTGATGACTCCCTGATGTCTCTCTCTTTCCTCAGCCTGATGACTCTCTCACTCCTCTCCCTGATGACTCCCTGATGTCTCTCTCTTTCCTCAGCCTGATGACTCTCTCCCCTCTCCCTGATGACTCCCTGATGTTCTCTCTCTCTCCTCAGCCTGATGACTCTCTCTCTCCTCTCCCTGATGACTCCCTGATGTCTCCTCTCCTCCTCAGCCTGATGACTCTCTCCCCTCTCCCTGATGACTCCATGATGTCTCTCTCTCCTCAGCCTTATGTCTCTCTCTCTCCTCAGCCTGATGACTCCCTGATGTCTCTCTCTTTCCTCAGCCTGATGACTCCCTGATGTCTCTCTCTTTCCTCAGCCTGATGACTCTCTCCCCTCTCCCTGATGACTCCCTGATGTCTCTCTCTCTCCTCAGCCTGATGACTCCCTGATGTCTCTCTCTTTCCTCAGCCTGATGACTTCTCTCTCCCCTCTCCCTGATGTCTCTCTCTCCTCAGCCTGATGTCTCGCTCTCTCCTCAGCCTGATGACTCCCTGATGTCTCTCTCTCCTCAGCCTGATGACTCTCTCCCCTCTCCCTGATGTCTCTCTCTCCTCAGCCTGATGTCTCGCTCTCTCCTCAGCCTGATGACTCCCTGATGTCTCTCTTTCCTCTCCCTGATGACTCTCTCCCCTCTCCCTGATGACTCCCCTGATGTCTCTCTCTCTCCTCAGCCTGATGACTCCCTGATGTCTCTCTCTTTCCTCAGCCTGATGACCTCTCTCCCCCTCTCCCTGATGTCTCTCTCTCCTCAGCCTGATGTCTCGCTCTCTCCTCAGCCTGATGACTCCCTGATGTCTCTCTCTCCTCAGCCTGATGACTCTCTCCCCTCTCCCTGATGTCTCTCTCCTCCTCAGCCTGATGTCTCGCTCTCTCCTCAGCCTGATTACTCCCTGATGTCTCTCTCTCCTCAGCCTGATGATTCTCTCTCTCTTCAGCCTGATGACTCCCTGATGTCTCTCTCTCTCCTCAGCCTGATGACTGCTGGGTTCAAAGGTCGTGTGACTGGGTGGGGGAACTTGAAGGAGACCTGGAACCCAGCGAGCAGGAACCTGCCCTCGGTGCTGCAGCAGATCCATCTGCCCATCGTGGACCAGGACCACTGCAGGAGCTCCACCTCTGTCAAGATCACAGACAATATGTTCTGTGCAGGTGAGACCAGGACCAGGACTGAGACCAGGACTGAGACCAGGACCAGGACTGAGACCAGGACTGAGACCAGGACCAGGACTGAGACTGGGACTGAGACCGGGACTGAGACCTGTGAGGATCACAGACAAGTGCAGGTGAGACCAGGTCCAGGACTGGTCTAGGTCAAGTCCAGGTCCTGGTCCAGTCCTCGTCCAGGTCCAGGTCATGTCTTGGTGTTTTGCAGGATTCAAACCAGAGGACTCTGTGAGAGGAGACGCCTGTGAAGGAGACAGTGGAGGACCCTTCACCATGAAGGTCAGACCAGACTCTCTCCTCTCTCTGCAGTACTCTCTCCTCTCTCTGTAGTATTCTCTTCTTTCTGCAGTACTATCTTCTCTCTCTATAGTACTCTCTCGTCTCTCCTCAGTTCCCAGCAGAGGACCGCTGGTACCAGATGCGGGATTGTATCATGGGGCGAAGGGCTGCGACCGCCGATGGGAAATACGGGTTCTACACTCACCTGTTCCGACTCGGGCGCTGGATCCGCAAAGTCATTGGACCGCTCCAATGACGAGTGAGAGTACTTCAGAGTACTTCAAGGCAATACTGCAGTACTTGAGGGGAAAGAACTGCACTGCAGGGAATACTGCAGTACTCTGAGGACATACGAGAAACATCTACAATAAAAGTTGTAACCAGTTCAGTTATAAGTGTCCAGTTTATTACACGTACTAAATTAAGTAGTACTTACTGTAATACTACTGCTACTGCTACTACTGCTGCTGCTACTGCTACTACTGTTGCTACTACTGCTGCTGCTGCTGCTGCTACTGCTGGCTACTGCTGCTGCTACTACTGCTACTACTGCTGCTACTACTGCTGCTACTGCTGCTGCTACTACTGCTACTGCTGCTGCTACTACTGCTACTACTGCTGCTGCTACTACTGCTACTGCTGCTGCTACTACTACTGCTACTACTGCTGCTACTACTGCTACTACTGCTGCTACTGCTGCTGCTACTACTGCTACTGCTGCTGCTACTACTGCTACTACTGCTGCTACTGCTGCTGCTACTACTGCTACTACTGCTGCTACTACTGCTACTACTGCTGCTATACTACTGCTACTGCAGCTGCTGCTGCTACTGCTACTGCTGCTACTGCTACTACTGCTGCTGCTACTGCTGCTGCTACTGCTGCTACTGCTACTACTGCTGCTGCTACTGCTGCTGCTACTACTGCTACTACTACTGCTGCTACTACTGCTACTACTGCTACTACTGCTTGCTACTGCTGCTACTGCTGCTACTGCTACTGCTGCTGCTGCTGCTGCTGCTGCTGATTCATCTATTAAAGCTGGGGTCTGTAACATTAAGACCAATAGAACTCTGTAAGAAATCCCATGTCTCTATAGTTCTTGCTCTAAAACAGTTTCCTCTGATACTTGTTTCACATCATGTTTTTGTGATGTCACATATTTAGATCAAAAAGAGGACCGCCCTCACTCAGCTAATCAGCCCAAAGAGGCAGATAGTGACTCTCAGGGCTCTCTCTCACACAGAAGATGAAGACTGTTTGTCCAACAGAAAGAGACCCAAACCACAACATACTGTGGTACTCAGTTCATCTGTGTGTGCGTCTGTGTGCGTGTCTCTGCCTGTGTGTGCGTCTGTGTCTGTGTGCGTGTCTCTGTCTGTGTCTGTGTGCGTGTCTCTGCCTGTGTGTGCGTCTGTGTGCGTGTCTCTGCCAGTGTGTGCGTCTGTGTCTGTGTGCGTGTCTCTGTCTGTGTCTGTGTGCGTGTCTCTGTCAGTGTGTATGTCTGTGTGCGTGTCTCTGTCTGTGTGTGCGTCTATGTCTGTGTCTGTGTGTGTGTTAAATATGATGGTGTAATCTCTCCTTAATCCACTGATCAGATTAGGGTCATGTGTATAATTCCACATGAGGCTGAGGGGGGTGTGCTATGTGCGGGACAAACCCTGACCTTTGATCCCCTCAGGGCAGGTGTGGCTGCAGGTGTAGTCCTACAGATGTGGTTCAAGTTAAACATCAGGGTCTCACAACCTTCAGGCCCAAAGGCCAATGCTCTTCCAACTGTATGTATTATACAGTATGCAGTGTATATAATATTACTAATAATAATAATATTATTATTATATACATAATTATAATCATGATGATGATGACGATGATGGTGGTGGTAATAATGACAATAATTTTATACCGAAAAGTGATGAAAATAATCAGCCCCTCCCACCACCAACAAGCATTCACACACACCACCACCATTCTGATGTGGGAGAAGTGTCTTGCCGAAGGACACAAAATAGTTTACCACTATAAAGCCGCAGCTGTCCCATAGTTGGAACTGGTGTTCCCGGAGGTCTCTCATCACAGTGATAACCAGGCCATGATCTCCTGAGCTTCAGAAGTCTGACAGGATCTCACCTGCATTATACAGATTACATCATACAGTATATATTATACATACTCAAAAACATACGCCTCTACCTGCTGAGGAGGCTCTACGTGCTGAGGAGGCTCTACTGCTGAGGAGGCTCTACTGCTGAGGAGGCTCTACTGCTGAGGAGGCTCTACCTGCTGAGGAGGTTCTACCTGCTGAGGAGTCTCTACTGCTGAGGAGGATCTACCTGCTGAGGAGGCTCTACTGCTGAGGAGGTTCTATGATAGACAAATAGATAGATATGGAAGCATTTACAGCTTGCTAAGAAAAAACAGCTAATTGAATATGATGTGTGCTCCTGTCTGTGCGGAATGTGCGCTAACACTGAATCTAACACTGTGGGACGAATACTTGATAGTTACCTAATGTAACTTAGGTTCTACGAATAGGTGCGTAGTCCCTTAGGACTTCGCTAGTGGGATATCACTCGTGACCCCCAGGTCACACGCCAGAGAGATCAAAATAATTTGCTCCAATCACCAGCCACCCTCTCCTCTAGAAATGCCCCTGCACAAGGCCGCACCCCCTCTTGAACTCTGCCAAGCCGGGCTGGCCTGATGGGCTCGTAGCTAAGGGACTACGCACCTATTCGTAGAACCTAAGTTACATTAGGTAACTATCAATTCTACGTCATGGTGCTACGTCCCTTAGGACTTCGCTAGTGGGACACAACGCGGAGGCCGTAGGAACATGTACTCCCAGCAGGCCAGCGAAGGGTGATTGGCGCTCCGCCCGAGCAAGACCCTCACACAGTGAGAGGCCTTAGGGCAGAAGAAACAATGCGTGTTACAGGGCCACTCCTACCAAGGATACCCGCACGTAACACAGATGTAGGTCATCCGTAGTCACAGGACGCCTCTCCCAAGGGCTCCTGACGTGGACTACCTGACCGACCAAACACACATATATGTACCGCACCTGTAGGATGCCTCTCCCAAGAGCTCCTGAACCAGGGCGGAAAGTAAACCGAAGGCCTCCTCAAGAGGCCTTCGGTTTTCGGTCTTAAAAGCGACACACTCGGGACTCGCCTCCGCCGCCGGTTCAAAAGGCGGACCCGACAGCCCCCTAAGGACCACCCTGAGGTCCCAAACCGGGGGCGTTCTCTGGAGCGGGGGCCTCCTCCTGCGCGCCCCCCGCAGAAAACGTTTAACCAACGGATGAGAGCGGGCTGTGAACCCCCCGAATCCGTCGTGACCCGAAGTAATGGCTGCCGCGAACACCGCCAAGGTGGCGACAGCCCTCCCCTTGTCAAAGAGCTCCTGTAGGAATCCCAGGACCCCCTCCAGCGGGCAACGCCTGGGATCCCAGGAACGGGAACCGCACCAGTCGCTGAAGAGCCTCCACCTCGTGGCGTAGGCCCTCACAGTGGACGGCGCCCTCGCCCCCTGAGTGGTCTCCACCACCGCAGGGGGAAGACCCAGGTCTACGAGGTTCCGCCTCTCAGCCTCCAAACCCAGAGCCTGCGGCCGATTATCGGGCGTGAAAACAGGGCTCCTCCCCCCTGGACTAGAGCCCCCGGCTCGTCCGGGAGGGCCCAGGGCTCCATCACCGCCATGCCCCTCAGGAAGGGGAACCACCGGGCATGCGGACTGTCCGGAGCCACCAGGATCACCGACCTCCTCTCCTGTTCGATCCTCAGCAGCAGGACAGGCAGGAGACGCACTGGTGGGAAAGCGTACAGCAGGCCCCCTGGCCAGGGGTAATGAGCCAGAGCGTCCACGCCTAAGGGCGGCTCGTCCGCGGCCCTTAAGGCGAACCAGGACGGGCACTGTGCGTTTTCTGCACTGTCGAAAAAGGTCGACCACTGGACGTCCGAACCTCCGCCAGATCTCCGCAGCTACCCGTGGGGCCAGGCCCCACTCGTCCTGGAGTGGGCCCCCCCTGGACATCCTGTCGGCCCCCACGTTCCGGACCCCCGGGACGTGGCGCGCCCTGAGAGACAGGAGGTGAAGCGCCGCCCACAGCAGCGTCACCGTCGCCATGCGATGGAGAGCGGGGGACCTGGTGCCCCCTGCCTGTTCAGATAGGAGACCACTGTGGTGTTGTCTGAGCGCACCATCACGTGTCTCCCCTGCAGCTGAGGAGCAAAGTGCAGCAGTACCCTGTGCACTGCCTCCATCTCCAGCAGGTTGATGTGACGGGCTGAGTCCGACCAGCAGCCTCCAACAGAGCTCTGGCCGAGGACCCCGCCCCATCCTTCGAGCGGCGCGTCCATGAACACCTCCACGTGAGACACGGCGCAGGCCAGAGTCACTCCGTCCTGCAATAGACCCGGAGTGAGGTAGAACCTGATGTCCGATGCTGCCACTTGGGGAACCCAGATCAGCCTCCCCCCGTCCCGGGAGGGGTGAAGCCTGAGGCGTGAAGCCTGAGGCGTGAGAACCACCTCTGAAAATTCCTCATGTGGAGAAGGCCTAGCCGCACCACAGCATGAGCCGCCGCCATCCTTCCCAGCAGGGACCTGAGGCGCCGAGCGGGGACTCTGGGGCCCGCCAGAACCTCCCTGGCCCGACGGGTAATGTTCATCCGTCTGTCCACGGACAATGCAGCACGGAATGTCACAGAGTCTAACTGCAGACCGAGATAAATCATGCGTTGAGCTGGCTGCAGCTTGCATTTCTCCCTGTTTACCACAAAGCCCAGACGCTGTATGTGGGACAGGACCCAGTGCGTGTGGCTCACGGCCACTTCCCTGGATGAGGCCAGAATTAACCAGTCGTCTATGTAGGTTAAAATTCTTACCCCTGCGCGTCTGAGCGGCTCCAGTGCTGCCTCCACGCATTTGGAAAAAGTCCGAGGCGCGAGTGCGTAGCCGAAGGGGAGACGGCAGTACTCGTAATTCCTCTCTCCCGCAAGCGCAGAACCTCCTGTGTTCTGGCACTATGGGCACGTGGAAGTACGCATCTGTCAGGTCTATGGAGGACATCCAATCTCCCTGCCTGACACACTCGAGGAGCTGCTTTGTGGACAGCATCCGAAACTGCCGTTTGGAAATGCACTCGTTCAACACGCGCAGATCCAGAATGGGACGCACCCCGCCTGACTTCTTTGGCACTAAGAAGTAAGGGGAGTACAGCCCCCTGGTGGCGTCCTGCGGGTCTACCTCCACTGCCGCGCCTCGACTCAGCAGAGAGGAGACCTCCGCTTGCAGTGCCTCTAATGATCTCCGTACCTGAGAGCGTACTGCCCGTACGCCTCGGAAAGGTGGTGGCTTTCGGAAGAATTGCAGTACGTAACCCCTGCGCAATGTTTTCTGCAGCCATAGATCTGTCAGCAAACCTTGCTCCCTCCAGATGCTGTAGAAGTCTGTGAGGGGCGGAACGGGAGCTGGAACACGAGACGTCACGGCCCCGCCCTCTCCTGGTGTTCCTAGCAGGGAGGGGGGGTGGACGAAAGGGCCGGGGGGCCCCCTGCGTCACACCGTGAGCGCCGGGGGCGGTCACGTGTCCTGCAGGCCCGACGTCATAAGTACGGGACTGCTCATCACACGTGACTCGGCTGCTGTGCCCCCCCCTGGCTCTTGCCTCATGGAGGGGGGGGCGAGCCCCTGGAGTGGGAGACCCCGTGTTAGCCTTGTAGCTCAGAGATGCTAACACGCGTTCGGCCGAAGCACACACACCACTACTCACCAGATCCCTCCGCCTGACCTGTCTCTGGGAGGGCATAGCCTGAACCAGTGAACCGGAGCTCGTAGCTCGCGTAGCGCACTGCAAACCCTGCTCTGGGGGCTGCAGGCCTAGCGAAGCAACGTTATGTGCTCGAGAAGTAACACAATCAGAATTCACAAGATTATTTGACATGTTACATACCCCCAAATGAGACTCAGACAGCGAGTAATGACGAAATGCCGGTCGGCCTTTATTGAAAGAATTCTTCCCACCCCGACCTCCTCTGCCATAGGGAGGTCGGCGGTGGGTGCGTTGGTCCCGCGAGCCTCCCGTGGGTCTGTCTGGACCCGGGGGCCTCGTCGAGGGGGGACGATAGGCCACGGAGCGTGGATATGGGTCAGGGCGCCTCCCGGGCGAACGCTCCCTGCCTCTGTCCCGGCTCCGCGCTGGTGGGCGGGCCTCGCGCCTCGGCGCTAGGTGCTGGGCTAGGCTAGCCGAGTCCTTGGCTGCGGTCTCCAGTCTAGCCACCAGGGTCTGCATGTCCGGACCGAAGAGGGACGTCTGGGAAACAGGCAGGTCCAGCAGCTGCCTCTTCTCCGCCTCTCTGATGTTAGCAAGCCCAAGCCAAAGGTGCCTGGCCCCGACTTGAGCTGCTGCCATGGAGCGGCCGCCATCGACAGCTAGCGCCTGGCACATACGCAGGATCGCCGCTGAAGTGGTCCTCGCCTGTGATAAGGTGTCTCCACTGAGCGCCTGGCCAAAAGAGAGCGACCTATCCAGGGCCCCCGTGATGAAGGCCATGTTATTCGCCACAGCGACGACCTGTGCCGCATTGGCGTAACATCTGTCCAGCATAGCCAAAGACATCCTGTCCCGCTCGGAGGGAAGGAGAGGTCTGGTGCCGGGCCACACGGATGCGGAGGGCTGCAGGGCCATGCGGACTGAATCCTCGATCACCGGTCCAGGACCAGTCCTGCCCGCTGCAGTACATGTCGTACCCCAGAGCAGGCCTCTTGGCTGCTAGGGGCTTAGGCCACTCACGTCGCGTAATGGACGAACGGGTCCATCCGCGGGCACAACGTGGGTTGCATCCTCCTCCTTCCTCGAGTGGTGGCGCCCACAGAGGTGAAGTCCTCCACCGTCTGGATCCAGCGACAAAGTCCGACGCCGGAGGGCGAAGGGAACTCGGACGAACAAGGAAGACATCTCAGAATGAAGTAAGTACTGTGGTAGATCTCAAACGGCGCCAGAGTGAAAGAGGGGGTGCGGCCTTGTGCAGGGGCATTTATAGAGGAGGGTGGCTGGTGATTGGAGCAAATTATTTTGATCTCTCTGGCGTGTGATCTGGGGGTCACGAGTGATATCCCACAAGCGAAGTCCTAAGGGACGTAGCACCATGACGTAGAATTAGTTCTTACTTACACACTTTACACTATACAGAACATATTTTACAGTTTGCCATACAGTATATATTATGCAGTTTAGATTCTGCACTCGCCTCCTGAATAAAGCATCTGTGCGCGTGCCTGTGCCGTGCACGCGCAGGGGGCGGTGCCAGAGGCTCATTGTCTGAAGCGGAGGAGACAAAGAGGCGGCTGCAAGCGGAGAATCAGCCCGAAAAGGATGCACTAAAGCCGGGGAGAAGAGAACCAGGGCCAGCGGAGAACCAGGACAGAAGCCCCAGACCAGGACTGACCCAGGACTGAACCCGGACTAAACAAGGACTGAGTCAAGACTGGACCAGAACCCTGCACCAGGCCTCTCCTCACTGATGCTGCGGGGATGACAGACACATGTGGCCGTGATGGAGCGATGTGAGGGCGGCCGCAGAGGAGCGTGAGGCCCGGGGCTGGAGCCTGAGCACGGCGGGGACTGTGGGAGCGTGAGCCCGGGCTGGGTGGCTCTGGTCCTGGCTGCAGCTCAGAGGAGGCGGTGGGTGTGTTCCCCTGCTGATCCAGCGGCGCAGACTGCACCTGCTTCAGCCGCGGTGTAGACCCTGAACCCGGGCTCTGGAAGGGAGGATCGGACCCCGAACCAAGGACGAGAACCAGGACTGAGGAGACAGGAACCACGAGACTCGACTGCTTTAGTCTCTGCCACATGCGTGATGTTGAACTGGGCAAAAGGCTAGACCAGACTGAGACCAGAAAGAAAGACCAGAGAGAGAGACCAGAGAGAGAGACCAGAGAGAGAGACCAGAGAGAGAGACCAGAGAGAGAGACCAGAAAGAGAGAGACCAGACTGAGACCAGAGAGAAAGACCAGAGAGAAAGACCAGAGAGAGAGACCAGAGAGAGAGACCAGAGAGAGGGACCAGACTGAGACCAGAGAGAGAGACCAGAGAGAGAGACCAGAGAGAGAAACCAGAGAGAGGGACCAGACTGAGACCAGAGAGCAATACCAGAGAGAGAGACCAGAGAGAGAAACCAGAGAGAGGGACCAGACTGAGACCAGAGAGAGAGACCAGAGAGAGAGACCAGAGAGAGAGAGACCAGACTGAGACCAGAGAAGGAGACCAGAGAAAGAGACCAGAGAGAGAGACCAGACTGAGACCAGAGAGAGAGAGAGAGACCAGAGAGAGAGACCAGACTGAGACCAGAGAGAGAGACCAGACTCAGACCTTGGTCATACAAAGTGAAATACAATAATTCTTAACAGATTTGGAATAAAAGCACTTTTGAAACTGTGGCGGACCACGGAGTCCAGACTTTTTTTACTGCGATGTTTTTAACTGTAAATATAGAAGCACTTTTATAATCTCCAACTTTAGACACTTTTTAAAAACCCAAACCGGATCCATTGACTTCATCACATCTGGGATTGAGGAAGAGAGAGATCATTAAAGCTGAGGTACGTAACTTTACTCTCTCCATGGTGTCTCTAAGGTCTCTCTCTGGTCTCATTATGGTCTCTCTGGTCTTTAATCTCTCATTTCTGGTACAGACCATGGGGAACACTGAGAGTATGGAGTCTCAGCTTGCTGTTATCCGGTCGAGAGCAGCTCCGGTCAAACTGCCGATGCCTGACGCTGCTGAGCTGGAGGAGAGGTTCTCCATCGCCCTGGTGAGTGACCCTGACCCGTGACCCTGACCATGACCATGACTCTTCAGATTCACTGTCACGCACTAACAGTCTAACAGACTCTCCTGCATCGGCAAGGAAAAACTCTAAAACCACATTAAGAGAGGCTCCACACGGACGGGCTATAGATCCAGGACCTAAGGCCACATGGCGCAGGACTCAGGTTGTAGAACGAGGTGCAATGTAGGACAGAAGCAGCTCCAGGCGGCGAGGGGGTGCAGCCTACGAGTCGGGCCAGACAGGGCAGTCCGCAGGTGCAGATGGAGGGGGCCGGGTTTAGGTGAACCATCATTGTGCCATGAAACAGACAACGGGTGAATAGTAATGAACAGATTACAGTCAAAATTCTAATAATGCAGACAGAAAAAGTAGGAAGGAAGAGAGGATAGTTACCATGCTTCTCCCAACAAACTGACTCCCTGCGCAGCTTGACTGACAGAGGAGTCTGAGGAGTTTAGTCTTCCCTGAGTCTTAACTAACCATATGCTAAATTGAAGCGGACTGTTTTACGCCCAGCCTTGATGTAGAGGCCGTGTCTGCTGCGTTAACGTGGATGAAGCTGATTCCACAGTAAAGGAGTTGTAGCTAGATGCTCTGCCGCCGAAAGTACTTTTAGAGACTTTAGCAACCACCAGACGTCTGGCGTTCTGTGAGTGCAGTGCTCGGTTTGGTTGGTTTGACATTAATGTGTCTCAAGGAGCCATGCCATTTATGGCTTTGTACACTGTAAAGAATGTCCTTGTAGAAAAACTGTAATAAGCTGGCAAATATGGTTCCAGGGATTTACTGTTTTCTCAACATGGCATCACCGTTGCTAATTTTAACGGTTAAAGACTGTTTCACTGAATCACATTATGTCTTTATGATTTCAGGATTTAACTGTATGTTTCTGTTAATTCACATACAACAAACACAGCATTATAATGTTCATTTTGTATGATTACACCATACGACTGTTTCTGTTTCTAATTAGTTTCATTGAACAAAAAACTACACAGTTTAATTTTGTTTTCCTTTAATGAACACAACTTTTCACATTTTCTTTTCAATTTGTCAAAGCACATTTATTTTAGTCAAAAACAGATAACCATTAGACTGTAAATGTCCATAGAAAAACAATATCCACTTTCTAACTTTTAAGTGCCAAAACATAAACATTTGTTTTTTTATGGTGGTGGATCACCTAAAATGTGATGAAATGAGATGGCACATATTGGCACAAAGTGTGCCAAATAAAACCAAATGGCATTAGTTTATATAAAAGCGCAACAGCATCAAAACTATAAAACCTGAAACTTTAGAGGTCTGAAACTTTAAAGAGTAAAAGTGACCATAGAGTTTGAATATTGTCAGCTTACAATGAAGTGTGCCTATTTTAGTCAGGGTCAGAGGTCAGAGTGTTGTCTGAGCCCAAACCTCTCATTACAGAACTCCATGAACCTTCCTCCAGACAAAGTCCGTCTGTTGAGATCGTACGACAACGAGAAGAAGTGGGAGCTGATCTGTGACCAGGTCTGAACCAGGACTCGACCAGGAATGGACCAAGACTGAGACTGGATTGGACCAGGAATGGACCGGGACTGGACCAGGACTGAGACTGCACTGGAGAAGGACTGGAGTGGAATGGACCAGGACTGAACTGGTAATGTACTGAACTGGACCATGACTGGACCAGGACTGGACTGGACTGAACCAGGACTGAACAGGTAATGTACGCGACTGGACCAGGTCTGCCAGTACTGGACCAAGACTGGACCAGGACTGAGACATGTTTTTGTTGCAGGAGCGGTTCCAGGTGAAGAATCCTCCACACACATACATCCAGAAACTCAGAGGATTCTTGGACCCAGCAGTGACACGCAAGGTACCAGAGACCAGAGCGAGACCAGAGACCAGAGCGAGACCAGAGCGAGACCAGAGCGAGACCAGAGAGAGACCAGAGCGAGACCAGAGAGAGACCAGAGAGAGACCAGAGACCAGAGCGAGACCAGAGACCAGAGCGAGACCAGAGCGAGACCAGAGAGAGACCTGAGACCAGAGTGAGACCAGAGTGAGACCAGAGTGAGACCAGAGTGAGACCAGAGTGAGACCAGAGTGAGACCAGAGTGAGACCAGAGCGAGACCAGAGAGAGACCAGTGAGAGTCCATAGAGATACCAGAGGGAGACCAGAGAGAGAGTCCAAAGAGAGACCAGTGGGATACCAGAGAGATACCAGAGACCAGAGCGAGACCAGAGACCAGAGCGAGACCAGAGCGAGACCAGAGCGAGACCAGAGCGAGACCAGAGAGAGACCAGTGAGAGTCCATAGAGATACCAGAGGGAGACCAGAGAGAGAGTCCAAAGAGAGACCAGTGGGATACCAGAGAGATACCAGAGACCAGAGCGAGACCAGAGACCAGAGCGAGACCAGAGCGAGACCAGAGCGAGACCAGAGCGAGACCAGAGAGAGACCAGAGAGAGACCAGAGACCAGAGCGAGACCAGAGACCAGAGCGAGACCAGAGCGAGACCAGAGAGAGACCTGAGACCAGAGTGAGACCAGAGTGAGACCAGAGTGAGACCAGAGTGAGACCAGAGTGAGACCAGAGTGAGACCAGAGTGAGACCAGAGCGAGACCAGAGAGAGACCAGTGAGAGTCCATAGAGATACCAGAGGGAGACCAGAGAGAGAGTCCAAAGAGAGACCAGTGGGATACCAGAGAGATACCAGAGACCAGAGAGAGACCAGAGAGAGACCAGAGAAGATACAGAACCGCATCCTCAACTACCATAAAAGGCTCCATGATGTCATAGATGTTGAGAGCTGGGGTATGAAAACTTAAAGTAGCAATATGTAAGATTTTCATGTGAAGCCATCATTAAATGGCCCTAATCTGTCAAAAGGCGTTAATAAAACAAGCTCCTTTCAAATACTCTTTAACTGATAACAGTGGTTCAGCCGAGATATTTGGATTTCAAAATTAGTTTTACAGCCCCTAAATCTTGTTATTGTTTTCATTTTGATGTCCCGCCCTCCACCGTTCTACCAATCAGAAAGTCTGTGATCCGGGTTGCCAGAACTC